ACACTGTACAGAGAATAAAATGAAAAAAAAAAAACATCCTATAAATGCGGTGAATTGGAAATAGTTTCTAAGAGCACAATCTTCATATTTTTTTTAATTTCAACCTCAAAACCAGCCAAAGAGAAAGGAAGATGAGATTGTTTTTCCTCTCTGATGACTGGGATGGGAATGGGTGGGGGAACTCTTTCCCTAACGTCCTTCCTAACAATTTCCAGGCTGCTGCAAGGGAAAAAAAAGTGATAAACAGACTCTGCTACGGTGCAATTCTATTTTCAGTCCTGTCTGACCCCCAGTGATCACCAGGACTTATCTCAGTGATTACAGCCACTAACAGGATTCTTAACATTTCTCTCTGGAAGCAGCCTAGAGCCAGAGGCCAGAAAGGATGGTTTCACTGAGCTATGACAGAAACAAGGCTGTGCTGCCACCTAACAGGGCACCTACTGAACTTCCAATAAAGTTGCTTAACAAAACACTCAAAGAGACAGATTTAACAGCAATTTGCTACAAGTGCTGAACCAGGCCTGTAGGGCCTAACATCACAAACTCCAATTATTTTGTTTCACATATGAATTCCAGCAATGTCTTCAGTTTGGGTTAGGTAAACATGAAAAGGAGTAACCAGCCTCTTCACAGTAAAGCAGTATATTTAGCATATACAGATAAAAAAGGCCTTCTTCTAAAATTCAAAATGTTGCTTTTAATCATTCAGAAGTGCGTAAAGATCCTGTGCATTTGCCTTTCACATCCCTGAGAGCCTGAACCTGTGTTTAAAATTGAACCAATAGCATGGGATTTCAATTAAATCACATTTTTGCTTTTTACAGACAAGTTATTCAATCAAGCTGAAACACAAGCTCAAAATTACTCAGCACCTGATTACATAACAACAGACATTACAACTGATTAATCACAGCCACAAGTTTTCATCTTAATGTCAACCACTTTAAACAGGGCAAATGCATTTAGTTGTATTACTAAATAAGAGCAATACAGGAAAACGCCAAAAAACCTTATCAGTCATGTATTTAATGTGCAATTACCTGGGCTCCACACTGAGGAAGTTGGGGAGCTTCACGAAATATAAATCATTACCCAAGTCTGTGTTCACTTTTGGTATTTCTACCTCTATTCTGGTCTCTGGAATAGGCTCTTCTTCCTGCTGTTCTTGACTCAGTCCATTCTCATCCTAATGAAAAAATGGAGAATAGCAGCATAAGTGAAAAGAAGTCTATCTGGCTACTGCTGCTCTAATAAGTACATTTTCCTTAAAGAAATGTCATCCACATGCACAGAGAGAGACGGGGTAAAAAAGAACTCACATTTTCATTGAAAGCAATTCAATTCAGCATTTTCATGTGCCACTTAAAGTGACTTCAAATACCAGTGCAAACTCCAGAGACAGACAGTAAAGAACAGCACAGAAGCTGACCTACAGTTTTCAGTTAAGCACTGGAGACTAAATGGGCAACAACTCCCAGATTAAAAAGGATATTTTTCTGTATTATCAACAAGAGATGAAAATTTATCATTAAAATAAAAATATTTTTCAAACAGCTGTAATAAGGTGCCAAAGACAGCTATGGCTTTGTATGTTATGTCAATCAAACTATTCAAAAAGTAGAGCAGGGATGGGGGAAGGCAAACAAATGAATTCATATGATAGTTATGTATAAAACTTTAACAATTCTTTCAGCTGGGACAAAATTATCTGTTATGCTTACTAAATGTCATTACTTTTTTTCACTCAAATATTATCAAATTCTATTTCAGAGTGGAATGGTGTGTCCATTATCTCAAAAGTCAAGTCTACTCACAATGGGCTGTCCTGGGGTCGGTGGTTTGTCTTCTCCATCACTCCCTGAGGAAATGTCATCTGCACCTCCAAACAGATCCATGACATCTGCATGCTCTTGAGCAGAAAAATTGCTATTTTAAAACACACATATAAGTGCACACACAGCCCTAAGGCAAGAACACTCACAGAAAAAAAAGGTTAACAAATCCCTCACTCTTATTAACACTTAAAATCACCTACAGAGGTTAAAAATTTCAAATGTTTATGAAGCCCACATTATTCCCTTACCCTAAAAAAAAGTTTTTCTGTGTATTTTTAAGCTAAGGATTCAAGGTATGTTTTCCCATAAAGGCTCCATCAAATAAGGGAATCTAGTTGAAAAACAGCAACAGAAAAAATATAAGATAATCCTTATTCAAGTAACTTGAATATAAGTAACAGCAACTTCATTACACATTTTGGAGGTTTTACTTCTCAGAAAATCAACACTTCTTTCTCAAGCCAGCTAACCCATCACAAAAACCAGTACAGGTTCCCTGGGTTGCTCTGATTAAAGGAACCATTTCTTAACATCTTTCAATAAAAACATAGGAAAGAACATTCACAGAAGAAAAGTTCATGGAGGAAGCTGAAAAGCTGACAGAACTAACCAGAGAGAATCAGAAGCACAGCATGCATCTCCCCCACAGAATTCCCGCTGTTTCATTATTTCCATGGCACTACAGTCACACGTACAGCAAGTGCTACTAATTCTATCCTGGATAAGATGAATGGCACCTCAAGATGATGATGAAAGGAATCAAACCCGCACAGAACAACAACACAATTTACCTTTCTGCCCTTCTGTATCACTCTCCATTTCTGAATCCGATGCAATTGGTTTCTTTCGCTTCATTCGCAGAACTTCATCTTCGCTGTCGCTGCCCCTTGCAGACTCTACCAAGGAGCATAATTATTCTCAGCAAATTAAAAACTTTGCTCCACAAATTTTAAAATGCCTTTGTATTAATAAGCTGATTCAGATGAAAAGGCATTTTAAAAGTGCTGCATAAGAAAAGCATTACAAAGATGACTACAGTCGAAAGCTACACAATTAATGCCTTTACACTGAAGTTTGAATCTTTTCAGGCCAACGTAAACAAAACAATAGAGACCAAACCAGCAGCAAATCATTACTTCTGTACTCAGTCCTACCGGATTTGTGCTCTTGCTCCTCCTCATCAGAGTGCTGGGCCCTCTCCTCATCATCAGAGTTCTGCATCTTCTCCTCATCAGAACGCTGGGCCCTTTCATCGTCATCTGAGTTCTGAATCTTCTCCTCATCCGAGGCCTGTGGCCTCTCCTCATCATCCGAGTTCTGCATTTTCTCCTCATCCGAGTTCTGGAGTCTTTCCTCATCATCAGACACCTGTGGCCTTTCATCCTCATCCGAGTTCTGCGCTTTCTCCTCATCGTCGGAGTTCTGCTGTCTCTCCTCATCATCAGAGTTCTGCTGCCTCTCCTCATCATCCGACTGATCACTTTTGTCCTCCTTGCCCCACTTCTCGTCCTCTGAATGTGCTTTTTCAGAACCGTCTCCCTCTGAGTGGTGACTGCCTTCATCTGAGCCGTGATCACGATCGTCCTCGTCGTCCTCATGAGCAGCTTCTGAGGCGCTGTGCTGGTCCCCGTCCGACTGCTCGTTGTCCTCGTGCTCAGAGTGCCCCGAGGCCTCAGAGCGATTGTAGGACCTTTCAGAGTGGTTGTCGCTGCCCGAGTGATGGGATGCTCCTTCATCCTCGCTGTCATCTCCAAATAGCTCCTTATTACTGGGTTTTACTGCCTCCCTGTCATCATCCTGGTCACTGTCACTTCCAGAGGCGTTGCTACCAGAACCACCGTTTTCCTGGTCGGAATCTGAATCAGATCCAGAATCAGAATCTGCAAAACAAACATCACCCTTTCAAAAGTCAAGATGTCCCTACAAGGATGCACATAAGATGATGGGCATTGCTTAACACTAACCCCCCCCCCCAAACCAAGCCAAACCCTAGAGAGAAAACCTACAGAGAACTGTAAGAAGGATCCCCCCCAAACCAACCCAAACCCTAGAGAGAAAACCTACAGAGAACTGTAAGAAGGACTGACAAAAGTTACCGAGTACAGTAAAATAAAATGTCTGCTAATAAAGGCACAGCCGAAGAAAGACACAATAAAAAAATTATGCCACATGAAGTTTCAAGCCACGAGCTATGATCTAAAATTCTAAAACTGTAGAAGGAATAAGGAATTACACAAAGATAAATAAGATCATTAAAATACCGAAGGCTTAAACAAGTAACTACATGTACGTGGCTTACAATATCCTACAAATTCAAATCACCATGCGTTTAACCTAAACCATGTAGCCGGGCACGTTTTTGCCATTGGAGCTACTCGTCAATGCTGAGGCTGGTGAACGCCGTTTCGAGCAGGAAAATAAAAGAATATCTGCCTGGAAAAGCGATTTACAAGAATGGAGACAAGTTCTTTGAAAACACGCTAAGGACTGAAGCTCCCTCATTCCCTCCCCTGCAGGCACCGACCCCTCGGCCCGCGGCTCCGCTCCTCCCGCGGGCCGCTCCCTCCCTCCCGCCCGAGCCCGGGTGATGCGAGAGGGACGATACGGGGCGGGCGGGCGGCGCGGCCCACCCGTGCGGGATGGAGGGATGACAGGGAGGCGACAAACCCGCACCTTTGTGCTCGGGCTCCGAGTCCGCGTCGCTGCCGAACAGATCCGCCATGTCGGCCATGGCGGCAGCGCGGCCCCGCCGGCGCGCGCGGGCACGTCACGGCGAGCGCCGCGAGCGCGGCCCCGCCCCAGGGCTGAGGCGCCGCCTCTTAAAGGGGCCGTGTCCGTGTGGGCTCCGGCGCCTGAGGGAGGAGAGAACTCCCCCAGGGTCAAAGAAAGGGATCGTGTTTGCCCGTCTCCTCCTCCGCCCTGCACCGCCCGGTGCGGCTGAACCACAGCTGCACAAAGCAGCCTCACGCCCCGCCGCATCCCTCAGGGCCCGCTTGTTCGGAGTGAAATCCCGCTCCACAGCACCAGCCCTTCATCCCACCACCGTCACTCCACTCACTTTCCTTCTGGAGAAGGAAAGGTGTTGCTTTGACACAACATAAACACATGGGTCAGTTTTAAGCAAGTCAGTGTACTATTTAAAAAAGCAAACAAACAAACCCCCAAAACCACAACAAGAATACAGTACTTTAATCATCCACAGCGTTTACTGGTTTACAATCCGACAGCATATAGTGCTGATAGGCTAAAAAACTCAATGCATGTTTCCTCAATGGAAATTTAAATTGAACACTTGCTTGTTTGTAGCTTACAAACACAAGATTACTCAAGCTGTAGAGAGAATGAGGCTATTTCGTTAAAATACAACAGTAATAGATAATTGCTTTGAATTATAGGCTATGTTTCCGTGCTTAGCTGGGAACCAACAGAATCAATATATGCAGTCATTTGACTTCTTCATTAAGGCTGAAAAACAATCCATATGAAAAAAAAATCATCTCTTAGAAAAAAGACCTTGTGTCTCTGGTAAGTGGTTATCAAAGCAATACCACTCTTTCACTCAGAATCAATGAAGTCATACACAGGATCTCACCACACCTACAGCACGACATCAGAGCGTCCACTTGGTTTGTTGAGACCGTGTATGATTCCTGGCTACAGACTGAATTCCCTCATTTATTCCAAACAGGATACACGTTGCAGGCACAAAAGTGATTGTTGTTAATTGTTCCATGCACATGCCAAAACAACAAAATTTTCTAAGCCCAGTCTGTCAAATACCTGTCCTTAAAGTGCTGACAAAGTCAAATTCTTACCTGCTGTCTACAGAGCTAAACCAATTATTAAGGTCCACGACTATCGCCGGTGACAGGACACCTGAGAGCTGCAGCTTAAAAGCCCCTGCCTTTGATTAGGATGTAAATAATTAAACAGCTAAACTTGATTTAACAGAAGTAAGGAAGGGATTTGGGCTATCATTTCCATAATCCAGCCTTTCAATTTTGTCCTTAATTTTCAAGTAGGAGATAACTGTCTAATCTTGTTAGATAATGATAAAATAAGTCATCATAGAATCACAATACATGAACAGATTCTCTGAATATGGCAGCCCTTCAACAAATGAAGGAAGACATCACAGCCTGTTTTTTGACACAAAATGATTATGGTGCCTAGCAAACAAAAAGTAAAGTACAGCTTTAGGCAACTCAGCACATGACATGCTTTGGCCATCTTTACACAGCACTATCTGTAAAAAAACCCACTTAAATGTGACTTTATGCACACTGTATAGGAACTTAAATTTCAAAATCTATAAAGTTCTTGGAAATTTACGAAAGCTAAACCCAAAAGAAGCCCTTTTTGTTACTCATCAGATCACCCCTAGTTTTTTCAAGGTTATAGTAAGTATAGTCTTTGGTTTTAACAGAATTAATTCCAAGTTGTTTTGAAGAGCACATATTTATTTGTAATTCTAATAAAAGGCTGATTTTGAAATAGGAAAAAAAAAGTTCTTCCACACGTATAAACCAATTATATACATCCTCATTGAAGGTACTGTAGTTTAATATTCACTGTTGCAGTAAAATTCGAACTCACCTCTGGAATAAAGTCTGTCTTTAAAGATCCAAAACAAGATTTGCAGCAAATTACAACGTGGGCACAGTGTCAGAGACTTGCTCTGTTAGGTTCTTATGGTATATACAAACTGATGCAAACATCTCAGTCCCCTCCATGTAAATATGTTTTCTATACATAAAAGCTCACCACATTAAGATCTCTGAATGAAAAGAGTTGTCAGTTGAATTCTCTGTTGCTATAAATATAGCCAAGCAGTCCTTTAGAACATTTTTGTGACCTCAAAGCAAACTAGTACAGGACAGTCCAAGCAGACCTAACCAAAAAGCCTCTAGGTTTTTATATTATTTCAAAGAAGTGTATTGTGATTATGTGCAGAAGTTGAAGTGATTCTTGTTGCCTTATTAGTTTGCTTAAACAACTTTAAATACTTTAATAATTACTACATCATACAGATCTGACACTACAGATTGATTAATTTTTGCATGTCTTAGGTAGTGTTCCAACATCGAGACATAAGTAAAATAGAAAAATCCTTTCTCAAAAGTGTTACTTCAGTATTAAAAAATGGTAGATTTATATGAAGTACAAATAGCTTAATACAACAGCTTCAAATAAAGGATTTTTCATTTGCCAGCAATTTAGGTCAGTGGTTTTACACTTAAGGTTGCTCTTCCTGTACAGTTATGCAGAATTTAAAATATGCATGTCCGCTACTTCTAGAGAAATTGATACTTGTGAATGTAGATAAAGATTTTTAAACAAAGATTATAAACTAAATAATGTTGATGAACACATGAAATCAGCCTAAAAATATATCCAGTTCAGATACAGAGCAAGACACACTTTTGAAAAAGACTTAAAGGATTTAGGTGTAATAAAAAACCCTGTCATTTTGCAAGGTTCCTAATTTTTTTTTTTTTGCAAGTCTTTTGTATGAGTCCCTCTAATCTCTTGGTAGAAGTCCTTAGCCCATTGATTTTGGTTTGCCTTAAAGGGATGTCTTTAAACTTACTCACATTATCAAGAACTAATAAAAAATAAAACAGTAGAATTACAAATAACATTGCTGTGAAAGATTTCTCTTCAGTGCATATGAACAAAGCTGAACAGCTCTACACAATGAGTCCAGCTGTTGGGTGAAGAATCCCTTATCACTAACCCATTGTTTTCAGGAATAGACACACCCCTCCACGTAAATAAGCACCCCCGGATTTTCTAACAAACATTTTAATTGGGTCATTATCTTCTCAATGACCTTAAATGTCCCATTCTTTGACTACAGACAATTATACCATTGATTTGCAATTATATTTTAAGTAGAAAGCTCAGCCGAAGTCTTGAAATACAAAAAAAGTTCTTAAAAAAAACCCCAGTCAAAAACCATGGTACAGAGACTGGTGCAGTTACTGTGTCTCCATGAAAAACGTGATGCATACCAGCAGATTATATAGCTTTGCTTTTAAAGGAATGGGGTTTCCAGTCTTTTCCCTTCTAAGCCAGGTCAATGTAGTCCAAGGTTGCCAAAGCCCACGGTGCTGACCGTGATGACTCCACCGGGTTTTGACAGCAGGATTGCTAATTGTCTCCTTCAACCCTTCTCTTGCGAACTGCAACAAGAGAGACAAAAAAAAAGTGTTGCTATTTTATCATGGTAACTGTTTTTTGTATTTCTACAACATGAACATTTGTTTGCCACCTGAGGTTTCAGACAGTACAACTTAAGGTAATGAACACTTAGTGCAATCTATCATTTTAAGCTTATGCTTCAGCAGCGCTTACTGCCTTATTCACAAACAGTTGCAAACACTTGCAAGGGAAGACTTGTGGGAAACATTAATCATCTTAGGTCTGGTAAGCAGATTTAGCCAGGACTCTTTTTTTTCATTGCAGTTTTCTAGTGCTAAATTAAGTTTATATGGCTTCAAAGGAAACAATGCAAGAGTTTCACAGTATATCTAACACAATTTATACACACACAGAAGATATTACATTCAATAGCCTAAACCATTCCATTTATTAATAAAACATTTAATTGTTAGAAAATGCAAGAGCAATAAAAATTTGTGAATAAAATCACTAAAAGCTCACATGCTATGTTAGACTGAATGACTGGAGTTTTCCTCAATATTTGTATTATCTTTGCTATTTTTTTTTCACCCTATCAAATTATGTTTTCCTTTTCTGTGCAGACATAAACAAGGCTACGGGTCTTACAAATTATATAGGCCATCTCCATTTTATTTTAAAAAGTCTAGCAAGCACATCCATATACAAAGAAAGTGATTCTGTTCTCAAAGCCACTCATTGGAAAGCAGGTGACAGAAGTTATTCACACCTGCTTTCATCAAATTGCAAGAACAGAGGAAAGAATTTCGAACCTTAGACTTCTCCAATCATGCAGTTAAAAGCAACAGGTGCAGTTGCAGACAAAGAACAGGGAAGTGGTACAACAGAGTGTAAGCAAGAGAGAAAGAAGATGGAGATGCAGACTATTTTTTTGGAAGAAACGTACAAAGACAGAGATGAGAGACTTGGAACATCTGAGTTTCAGTGCTGAATACCCAGCTGGGTATTCAGAGTGACCTGTCTCTGTAGCTTCACGGCTGGAGAGATGAAAAGGTATTTGCAGAAACTTTTACTCACATACTCCAGACTAAGAAAGCAAAGAAAAAAAGGCAAGATATCAATAGAAAAATAGATTTACAACAGTCAAGCACTAACAAGAGAACTAGTGAGAAGAGAAACCTTAGAAAGTAAAAAGACACCTGAAGCATTATGACAAATAACTGGTTTAGAATCTATTTTGAGAAAGTTATAGAATGTCTGAGTGCCTTTCTTCTCTCTCTGTGCTCTTTTCTAGTTACTCCTCCTCCATATCTTTCAGAGCTGTTCTCCTCAACTTTAACCTTTACTCAGAGGGGAAGCAGATCTTTAAACCAAATTCCAATTTCCTGTCATTCCCTCTAATATATTCCTGAACTACTGCTACTGCTACTAAACTGCCTGGCCCATTTTCATGCTGATGAGACGTATAATCTTTACCACAAAGCATCTAAAGACAGAAGATTTAATTAAATAGAGTTTTAAAATGCAATTCTATTTAAACAGATGGACCACATTATCTTGTAGTTGAGTGCTACAAGTATTTGACATTATACAAACGATTTCCACTCATGTGCTACATTATTAACCGATTTTCTGCTGATCCATTTAGTTAGGATTCTAACAGATGAGCTCCAACAAAACTGACTGCAGCAAATAAAGATGCCACTGCTACCAGCTAGAGAGGCAGGGATGGTACTTGTGCATGACCAGAAGAGATGACCCAGTCCCAGCCTCTGCATGTGACAGGATGTTTGGTTTCCTTGCTTAAGCACTCGAGATGAGACTGGGTGCACTGGCATTCAACAGGGCATCCTACACTGTTCATTTCCAGTATTGCTTTTAAGGAAGCAGTGGATCTCATCTGAATAAAACTGAACAATCAAAACTATTATTTTCACTCCTTTTGCCACAACTCACATGGAATTTGAATGTTCTTGTTCTAGACTATGTTAAAACCCCTCAACTCATATACCTGAACACCCTGCAACAAAATAGAGAACATCAAGCAGCAACAAAAGAGTAGGAGTACAGCACAGGAGAAACCTTAAACTGATCTAACATTGTGCTATCCTGGTTTTGTCAAGGGAGAAGCAGAATAACCAGACACCTTTAAAGCCTGTGCCACACACACATTCAGTTAATAGTCAGTCTCTACTGACAGGTCTTACCCAAATCATTATTTTTTGTGATAGCTGCAGCTGCCCTGGCTCGAGGTCCCTGTTGTGTGAAATGGTATCCAAATTTGAGGATCTTGGTGTTTTCTTCAAGCATTTTGGCAATTTCTACTTCTGCAAGTGTGCCCAGCTGCTGCCTCTGTTAAAATAAGAGGTACACAAAGACAACAGAGCTTATGTGTGTTCATCCTAAAAGAGATCAGAATACTTTAACCAAATCAGTCAATAAACACTCAGCTTCATTATGATTAATTGAATAGGCAGAAGGTCACAAAATATGTTTGTGCACCAGGAAGCACAGAACTGACCTGGAATCAACTTCAGCTGTGTGCTTCTGAGAATCTTAAGGGCAATTATGGAGGGTCTTAAGATATTAAACATAAAATATTTAGAAAAGTTTATCACAAGCTGTCTTCCAAAAATATTCAACTAGGACTGGCTGGTTTTAGCTTTGATATCACCACCACCACCTCACTTACCTGATTATCAATTTTGATCTCTGTCAACGTTTCATTGTCTTTCAGTGCATCAACCAGTGCCAGAATTCCAACTCCAGTGATGAAGTTTGATTCTATGTTTAAACTTTTCAATTTTGTGTTTACTCTCAACATTTCTGCAAGAGCCTTTGAATGTAAGAAAGTATCATTAAACTTTTGAATTTTGCTACAGTAGGACATAGAAATAATCATTTCCATAGGAACTAGTTCCATATAGGAGCAACAAGTTCACCAATACATGGTGTAACTTTGCAGGCTTTCACTTGAGACTGAACTGAATCTTCAACCATCTAATCTTCAACCATTCAATTATCTACATTTCCTTTTTAAATAGTATTGAGTCAAGAAAAGGCCTGTCTTTCTCTTGTTACAAACTAAAAAGCTACACAGAATATAAATTGTCTGAAATTAGCATATTGGACCAATTCCATTTTGTAAGCCTTCACAGCCTACAATGAGTAATGCAAGCTGCTAAGTGAAGGCCAAAGAAAGGGCATTAGTTAGCTGAAAGAACTGGATATGGTTAATTTGTAAACAGGAGATCTGACTTTCAGAATGCTTGTGCCTACAGATTGGGTAGGAAGAGGTAAAATGGAAAGCTCTAAGCACAGTACCAGCATGTAGCTAAAAGCACTTTTATGGAAATATACCTGATCCTACTTCTGAGAAAGGAAGAAAACAAGAACAGCTGACTGCTGAGGTTTACTGTCATAAAAATCATACCCTGTACATTTTTTTCTATCAAGTCACAATGCAAAGAAACCCAACAAAAACCACACCCGAGAAAAGAAGCATTTATAGATTTTTATTACATTCTGTTTCACTCCTGCTGAAAAGAACTTTTTAATTGACCAAAGCTTTCAAATGTTCAGTTGCTTCTTTAATGCTGTCTTTCAAACTAGATTCCTTTTTAATTTGAAATTAAAACAAATGCAAAGGATTGTTCTGTCAAAACAATTAGTTTTGTTTTCTTACCTCTTTCTTTGCAAATAAATAAGGTACTGCTTTTAATTCAACATAGAAAAAACTAAGACCTGATGATAAGTTAGTTTAAACTACATCAAACTAGATACTTTGACTAATATTATATTGTATATACCAATGCTTTAAGCAAATCTTTGGTAGCAGGGAGATCACAGAAACAGGTATTTTACAATTTTCTTCAACTAAAACTCTAGTTAGCTAAAAAATATTGTGAGCTTTTTCAGTTCTCTAATGTGCTTCTTGCAAATTAATTTTGAATACACTATTGGCTACTGGAATGAACTAAACAATTAGGAAAGAAAGAAAACAGGAAAGAGATTAGCAAAATGAAAAGTCGGGGAAGGGACTGGAAACAAGAATTCTCACTCATCTCACAGGTGATGCATTGCTGCATATTAGTCTGCTTGTAATCATTTACCAACTTTGACACAACAAAGGTTTGTTAAAGAAAACATACTTTACAGTGTAACAGAATGTAATCATTTTCATCCCTCATCATTTAAACTGGATTAAATTCAATCCCTTACCACTGCCTTTCCATCCTAACTTCCCTTGCACCCCACTTCAGCACATTATCAAGATACTTACAACAGCAACAGGATCATTGCTTCGGGTGGCTGCCAGGCTAAAATTCTTCACATGTGTGTTGGTTTCTAAGGCTTTTGCAAATTCTTTCAGCGTTGGAATTGGTATGTTCTTGAATTAAAAATAGCATTTTACTCTCTTGAGATATGTAAGTTTTCCCCCCCACCCCAGCTTCTTTCACTATTTTATTCTTTTTACAGCAAAATGTCCTATAATATTAACTATCACTGGTCTTGAGCAGTCGTACAGTAAAGATGCAATGGCTACAAGGGTCACCAATTCCATAAAGCAATAATTTTTACAGGGTAGTATCAACCAAGCTTAAAAGGAATAATTTTAGAAAATTAATTAGGGTAGCAAATTTCTCAGTTTATTATATCAGGAATTTTGATCTGTTGCCTTTTTAGGCAGCTATTTTGGCTAGCATTTATGTATAACACAGTATTCTTAAACCAAGTATTTTATTTTCTTCCTTTAGTAAGTGAAACAAGTAGCCTTGGCTGCTGACAAGGCTGTCACCGCTGTCTGCACTGTAAGTCAGCAGTGCTACAGTTCTGTTTTCTTTCAAGCAAATATACAAAAGTTTGTCACATTTAAAAACACAACTGTTACACTCAGAAACTGCCCTAACGGCCAAAAGCTCTTTTGTACAAGAAATCAGAAGCATGTCAGGTACAAATATAACTTTGTTTGCAACTGCAATAACTGAGAGCACGTTGCTCCATCAAGGACAAAGGATTCAAAAAAGTAGTTCACAACAGTGAACTGCTGCCAACTTGGCAGCAACAGAAATCTGGGCTGGCAGTAAGAAAGTCTAAGACTTTTTAAATCCACATTTGGCAAAAGAAACCAAGATGGCTTATCGGTTTAGCTCCAGGTTTCTGAGCTTATACACACTGCAACGTTTAGCAAAAAGGCTGCTGTACTTAAAATAAGCTTCTCATGCTCTCTTAGAGAGTTTTGCAGCTTAAAGTGTCTTCTACTGAGAAAAAGCAGTATATTTATTGCAGGCTTCAGGTAATTACCTTAATGTTATTTAGATTAACTTCAACAAGACGAGAATCATTATCTTTAATCCTCTGCAGCGTCTCCTCCACATTTGTGGGATTTGGTGGTTCATCAAAAACAGGCAACATTTTTTCACCTTTTACTATATCTGAAAAGTAAGGCATTTAAGTGTAATCAAACAGGTTGCATACATTCACTGTGAATAAATGATACATATACTAAATATTTACTGTATTTAAAGATCATTTCATCAGTCTTTACATCTCTCCCCCACACAAAAAGCACACCATCCTCTCCTGAAATACTTTCATAAAGTTCAATCCTTTTCCAAAGGTCTTTACAGCCTTTCTGCTTTTATTGCACACCAGCTTTTTTCAGAAAGCACACAGAAGTTGAACTGCAAACACAAATATAAAACCTAAAAAGCAACACACACAATGCATGTTTATGCCTACTTTTGTCACCAAAAAGTGACTTAACTGCATATATTGCAATTAACTACGTATATTGTAATTCCAGAACTCAATTAGAAAATGTTATAGACATTTCCAGACTAAGACTAAAGAGTCTAAAAGAATGTTGGTGCAACAGAAAATAGTTAATGCAATAGTAACTGCGTGCAGCACAAAGAATTAATTTTTCCAGCACTTGCATACAAACACTTACTTGAGAAGCTGTCTTTGTCAATCCCATTACTGCTTCCTACTACATCACAGAACTGATTGTTTGTTATCAAGTTGGACATTCCCAGTATAGCTGTAAAAGGAAAAAGAGAAACAGCAAAAAAGCATTTTTATTGTTCCTGACTAATTCAGCTCAGATGAAGGTTCCTTTAAATAACAAAAACTGATGTCCGTACAACATCCAGTTAACAGTGCAAGAAGCCATTCAATACCTTAATAATTTTAAAAAGTAGAAAAAAATTAGTTATAGACTTTTTAGTTGGCTTTCATATCTTAGAAAAATTTGACCTCACCGGGTTCCAGCTTCAAAGTTAAAAGTGCTATTCAGTCACAAAATGAAGCTTTAGGAACACAGGTACATAACAACACATTCTTATACACAAGAAAAAGCAGCCACCTACACAACAAAAACCAGGAAGTCTCAGGAATGGATTTAAAGGTTTTGAGTTTGAAAATCAGGTGTCTTTTGCAGGCCAAAATAATTTACCTTCCTATAAATTATCACAAATCAAAAAAGTTGAAACGCTACAAGGAAGTTGGTATATAACATGATATAGTTTCTATCACAACTACAACTTCCTGAGGTCAGATAAATACACTACCACATTGATTATAGATCTTTTTTGTCTACAGATGCACCAGCCCATTCATACTTCAAAAAAAAACTAACCTGCAAGGTCACCTAATTCTGTGTCTGTGGCACTGGTCAAGGCTTCCTCCAGTTCTGGATCAAGAGAGAATTTTTCTTCTGCAAAAGACTGTACAGGTTTTTGCTTGGGGATAAATATTTTCCCTGGAGTAAATAAAATGAAAAGTCTGATGTTACTTTACTTTGTGTTATGTACTTATTTTTAAATTGTTCTGTATCTAAAGAATACATATTATATTCAGTAAATCCTGAGAAGAGTACCACAGACAGCAAAAAGGAATGAGGTTTCTTCTGTTTTTGCAAGTCAGAGATGAGGAAAGAGCATAAAGAGAATAAATTTTCAGGAGTCTGTATCATGACTCCAATCTTATTTAATTCTCCTAAGGATTCAAAAGTAATAAAGCCTCCATTATACCTTTTAAACAGTCTAGAAAAAGTGTCTAAAAAGATTTAGTATCACTAGAGAACAATGACCAGTATCGTCTCAAAGGAGGAAGGGACCCAGGCAGAACTTTAACCTGAATGAGAGAGTATATCAAAGAATTACCTGAAATCACAGACCTGCATATTCAGTGCAGTTTTTACAGCATACATGATAATTTCTAATTTCAGATGTGAACTCAGTTCTGAAGTAAAAAAAGAGATGCCCAAGACGCTTGAGAAAACCATGGTTTGTGAACAGCACAAAACAATATAACAGATTTCTCTGGCAATGACATTGTTTCCTGAAATGATACTTAGAAAGGCCATAGAGGATTCAATGGCAAAAGAAGCAACAGTAATACCACCAACTTTTTAGTTATTACAGGAAGTAATAAGAAAAGTTATTTTAGAAGACATGCATTTTAAGTAGAGGTCTGTGTAGTTACCATAATTCCTGCATATATCTTCAGCTGAAAAGTTAGGGTAGGAAATCAGAATACAAGCAAGATATTCTAACAGTTCACCTGTGAATGGTTTAGAATTGGCCTTTCAGAACACAGAAATCTACCACTGGGTAAGAGCCCAGGAGAGGTAAGGGGTGCTTAGGTTCTGGGCAAATTAACTTGGTAAGTAAAAGCTCTGGTACTGATACATTTGGTAGAAGTAATTCAGAACTAGACAACCACGAATCAAATCTTAACAATTATTAAAGTTTTTCAGTCTTTCCAAGTTGCCTGAGCTATCAGCAGAAAGAGCTATGGGAAAGAGGTTCCAACTTCCTTTTGTTATTTCCTGGGGTAGGAAGTGGTGTTGATAGTCTTCCTATGAAGTTTCAGTTCTAATTCAGGAACCCACCCTCTTCCATATCCATAGTTATACAATATTTCCACACAGGAATCACCCTAGCTCATCCCAATTACATGATTACAGACCTCCTGGACAGAAGCCAGAGACTTAAGATTTTTTTCCCCTCGTACTGCTCACAAGTTTATCTTGTTACGTGCTTGGGGTAAGACTAAGTTTAGCATTTTTGAATACCTCCCAGTGACACAAAGCTTTATAGGGATGTTTCAGTTTTATTTAGGGGAAATGAAGTGGGATTTTGGTTTCACCACTGGTGGGAAGCAATGCTGAAGCCAGGTCCTGTGTCCCACAGTAGACACAGGCATCATAAAAACCTGTCCATCTCCTCTCTCTCTCTTCAAGTTCCCATCCTAGAGTAAAGTAGTTGTGGTTCATTTTCTTTTTAAAGGAAGTTAATGCATTACCTCTAGCACAGATTACAGAGAAGTACATCAGGTTTTTCTCTGACAACACAGTCTGATGATCAAGATCTGTTGCTAGCAACACAGTATTTTTGTTCCTGGGTTGCTATCTCTTTGGAAACTTGTATAAATGGTCATTATCCATATTTAGAAGCAGAAAATAAAACTCCTTACATAACTGTAATGACTCCAAACAGTAGCTGAATGCAGCTGACATGTATTACCACCCATATCTCAGCTTTGATGGGCAGTGCAAAAGAAACTGTTTGTGGTGATTCAGGATTAAAAGAAAACTTTCATAAAGTAAAGGCTTAGGTAGTAGATGTTGCAGGTTATTTTAATATAATTGATATGGTATGTTTCTACCATTTTATTTTACCAGCATCACCTATTGAGGAGAAAATAACTTTCAACTTTAATTGTAATTTTCAGAAGAGATCAAGAATGTTTGACAAGGTTTTCATTAACCCATGAAACAGCCATCCTCTCTGCAGCATCAGTGGAGCAGGCAGAGAGCAGGAGGAAATCAATCTCATTTAAAAGCAATTTTGCAAAAATGTATTTCAACCTAGATCAGCTTTCTGTCTGCTTCATCACACAGTACTCACAAAAAAAGAGCTACTTTTCCTGATGTTGCTTTTAAGTAATTCTTAAATTCATAGGTTAGGAACGTCTGGTTCTAAACATTTGCTTTCTAAGAGTAAGACTAAATTTATACATATGTGCCTGACTCTTAAGAAAACCTGAAGAGAGTGAGAAGTATATTCAGTTTTTAATAAAGCAAAAATGTTAAAAGCTACTGCCCTCCAGAAATGTTCACTGCAGCCAACTCCAGTCATATGAACTGAGTCAGGAGCAGTTTTTGTTATAAAACAGGTCACACCCTTGTGTACATAATCTCTCATTCATTGGCTTCATGTCATCCTAGCCCAGAATTCAGAGGTTTACAATGCACACACAAAAGCAGGTCCTTCCCCACTCCCCACTTCTAGTAATGAACTTACTTCAAAAGGGATAAGACCCCTGTGTCTCTGGGGACAATGATCTAACTCAAGGCCTGCTGCCAAGATAGTTTGGCAATTCCCTTCCTCCCTCACTAATGCAAGCTTTAAATAAAAAAAAAAACCAAACCAGAAACCACTACACATCTGTGCAGCCCATGAGACGTACAGCTTTCCTGGCCCTCAAGTGGAACATTTCCAAATAGCAGGGATTTGATTACATGAAGGAACATGACATCCTCCTTCTCAGCCGACAAGGATATTGCAAAGATTAAGCAATACAACACAAAGAGGCAAATTTCAGGGATGTTCACATCATTTTTGTAATAATTATATATTCAGGTCTTCTATGCCTTTAAGCTAAAATGTCAGATGATGCACATCCCAGGATTAAGTCACAGGCTTTATCTGCTACAGAATAAATTTGCAGTCCCAAGTTCCACACAACTGTATTGCTCAAAAGGCAGGAACACTGGATGCTGTTTGTTGAAGTGCCCTGGACATTTCATACACAGACTCACAGTATCCAAGGTGGGGCTCAGCATGTTGCAGAAATCAGGGCTGTTCAGTGGGGCCACCACTGCATATTGCTGGTACTATTCTCACACATCCCACAGTCCTACCCCCATTCCAGCAAGCAGCCACACTTTACACAGCAGAAGAAAGTCTAAAATCCTCTTTTACAGTACTCCATTTGTGGAAATGAATCAAGTGTTACCTCAGGACAACTGAATACAAGTTTTTCTCATCAGTGGCTTCATGAAGAAAAGTAACATCTGATATATTCCTTACATCTTATGTTCCTTAAAGTCTCCTCAGTTCAGAAATCTGTATAACCCACACTTCATCCATCTCCAGTTCTTACTATGTGAGAGACTTAAGTTCATCAATTCACTTGTGAGCACAATTTAATACTAATTTTTTTAAATTCAACATACAAGTGACTTCCTCAGTGTCTTACTGCAGAAACAGAACTGTTATTCATTATCTGATTACAGACCACAGAGCAGTGAGTTAGAAAACTGGTTTACATTAAGGCTGGAGTATCATATGTTACTTTGTTCTAGTGCTCTTGTATGGAGAATGTCAATCCCACAAGCTCTTTCTGCAAAGCTCCTACAGGATATTAGCTTCACTTCACAACATGTAACACACTTCTTTAAAGAGCAGGGATTCAATGGCAAACAGAGAACACAGCATCCCAAATCCTGCTGCAGCAGAAGGCAGTGGTGATCCTGAGCAACAAACTGAGCAGGGTGGCAACAAAAGAGCTCTAGCCAGCCACAGTTTGAGCCTAACAACACTTTCTGGGTGATACAGACAAATCAAAACAAAACAAAAACCAACCAAACAAAACCCTCAAACTTCAACAAGCCCCAAGCATTAAAGCAGAATCAGAGAATCACAGAATCAGCTAGGTTGGAAAAAACCTCTGAGATCATTGAATCCTGCAAATTTACCCAGAACAAACATACCCGGCAGGAATGAAACGGGAAAGTTGGAAGAATAGGCTACAATTAGGAAAGTGCAAAGGCTAGAAATGCAAAGTTTAGTTTACATAATACTTTGCTAATGCCTTCCATTATACAGCACAAAGTACATTACTGATCTTAGATATGTTTTTATCTCAGGTGCAATAATTCAGTTCTTTTGCTGTTCCCAGAGAAGTGGGGAGCACTGGTCAGACGAGTGTAACACTTTGAGGGGCAACAGTCTCCAGCACTAAAGCCTTTACTGTTTGCATGAGAGATCCTTCTGCTTGCAGTATGCCTTGTAAAATCTTTATGACATACTTCCATGCACAGATTAAGACAAAGCTAGTTTTGTTGCAATTATTACCACACTCTCATGAATCTGTTGAACAATGCTTTACTGTATGGTTCAACACTTAATTGGAACAGAATGTGACTTAAATCGTTAAATCGTGTTTAAAAACAAAGTAAGTTTTTACTGATGCTTTTAGAAACAAAATCAGGCACTGGAAAAATGGAATAGGATATAATTTAGAGATTGTTAAACTTCACATTACTTTAGCACTGTTCATCTCACTACAGGAGGACACTTTACATTATTTCAGATCTTCTACATTTCATAGCACAAAATAAAAGAGAGGTTCCAAAGATTTGGGAGAAATCACATCCACTATCACTGAAAGAGATGCAACAGTGTTTTAATAACATGCTTACCCCAAAATGAGGTACTTGGGACACCTGGAAGAGAGGATTTTCCTTTACACTGTAGTAGGAAAACAAGGTTACCAGGATCGGCAGCAAGCCAGGATGGCTAAAATTAACCCAGGATAAGCTTCTTGGATAAATCTGCTGGTCAAATCACCAGGCAGGACATCAGTTCTACTAAAATAGAATAGGGAGAGAGAAGGATAGATTTGCCCCTTCTTACTCCATGAAATGAATAATTAGGCCAAGTTAGAGCAACAAGACCAGCCAGGCACACAGAAATGTTTTAGCAAATCCTGACCCAAAAAACGGCACCAAGAAAATACCTGCAGTTCAAATCCATCTCTCTCCTCCCAAAACCTCTGGAACTGAAGGTTGCATTTGTCAGTTTTCTTCTGAATTGACAGGAGAATCAGGCAAGATTTTCACCTGCCCCTATTCTACAGTGTTTTTAGCGTTTTTCCATAATATATTGTTCTAGTCAAAGAGAAAAATTATTATCCAGCCTAGTTGTTTGTTATTTTTTTTCTTTTAGTATTAAAGAAAAGCACATTAAGATACAAGCTCCCTCTAGATAAAAAAAAACCTACACATGTATTAAGTTTTACTTCATACCTTTTCCAAGTTCTAAATCTACATAAATATAATGATTTCTTGATTTAGAAGATTAAGTTACATAGATTTGCCATTTTTGTGCAAAATGATACAAACATGGCAGCAAGTCACAGCTGAACCATAATATTTCCATGAGGGGAAAAGGAAAGATTATCCCTCACCTACTACAAAATGAGCCTGGCCTTCTTGCCTCCTGCCCATTTACCAGAGCATGAATTTCCACACAAAACATTTGTTTCCACATTTTTAGTTTTAATGAAAGTAAGCTCTATTCCATGTTTCGTATTATTTTCTCTTCTTCTATGGCATTAAAATAAATGGTGGAAAAAGTTATTAAACAGTAACTTTTTTTTTTTTCCAAGAGATACAGGAAATTTTACTAACTAAACTGGTATGACTCACTGCAACTTGCAGACACACTGCTGTTTAGTAATACTTTATTACATAGAGGAAATGACATTTGATCTTTCTTAACCAAGATCTACGTTACAGCTGGTCCCTTCTGTTTTTCTACACGATTCTCACAGATTTTATCTACCCAAACAAATACTTGTGCTGTGTGCATGTATATGTAAGCTGACTGTAGAGAACCACCTATCTGAACCATAAGGCACCATACCTGCTGCTAGGGGTACCTTCTGCATTCAGAACGTTGCAATATCCTTATCTCAGTTACTCTTACAGGTCCTGTCAGCAAAGAAGTGTCACAGTTATCTCAACACAAGTGGTGTTAAACTTCAAACTAAGGTAAAACACAGTGTATGAAGGAAGTAGTACATCACACACAGAGTGCAGCACATTGTAAAGTCATAATCCCTCTATTACTTCAAGGTAAAAGTAGAAAGGCACCAGCATTGTCAAGTACCTGGCACAGGCAGAGAAAATGCAAATATGCCCAAGAAAATTTTCACCAAATGTACACCGCTATCTTATAGACAAACTCAGTAGATTAATGAAGACTCAAATCTGAAATAAGCTATGGTTCATGCCAGAGAATTAAGTAGAATTGAAGGGTTTCAAACTCTTAAGAAAAGAGGAGCCTGTTCATCTTGGGCAGCTGGAATACAGCTTAGCAACAATTTGCTGAAGCCTAGTGCAGCAGATCTGCCCCTGCTGCTAGGGAAGGTTCAGACAAGCCTGGATTCATAAGCACTCAAACACTTGTGGTGACAGCTAAGGCCTCCTCCTATGCACATGTACAGAGCACAGCTCTGGGAGTTTCTGTCCTTACCAATACTGCTTTGTAAGGCACAGCGGATTTGGGAACTCTGGTTTTATGGGAAAAATATGACGTTATTCTTACAATATTTAAGAAGCACATTATTATTTAATTTTCTCTTGAAAAGACAAATGCTCCCATCAAGTCAATGAGAATATCAGATCCAAAGCAAAAATTTCTAATCCTTGGCTTTAATGACATGTCCATGGTTTTTAGACCACAAACCACTGCCAGATTTCAAAACTTGTTGTGATGTTAACTGTGTAATTAGTTAGTACTAACTATGCAATCTTATTAAACCTTTCAGTAGGGACACTAGAAAAACAACATGACTGCATACACCACTTGTCTGGCCTTGTCAGCCTACAGCATCTTTGAACATCACTGAGTGTCTCCCACGACACCACTCAACTGCTATTTTTCTAATTCAACACAGTATTACAAAGGTTGCTGTCTGTGTTTAGCACAAGGCACAAGCCACAGGCACAGTGACAGCGTTTGTTATTATTGACGCAAATGAGGGTTAGCTCTTACTTTGAGGATCCCATCCCCATTAGAACTTGGCAATTCATGATAAAATCTTTGAGTCTTATTTCCTTCCTGTGCTACATACAAACAGCACACCAGCTCCAGAGGCACAAAATGCCCGAACAGGAAGCCTCCTGCCTCTGCACAGCAGCACTCGCTTGGGAACGCCGCGAGTTAAAAAGCACTAGAGCTGCCAGTGCTCCAATAAAATTTGGTTCACAGCAGTTCTGGCTGGTCCACTTCAGGGATTTCATAACCACTTGCACCGGAAAGGGTGGTGTTACCTTTCTTTTCTCTTGTAAAAGGCACATAGTCCTCCCTGTCTTTGTGCTCGAGCGCCTGCTTCTCCAAGTACGCCAGGAGCCGCTCCCGGTCGAAGGGACCTGAGGCCTTCTTTGCAGTCTGGTCCTTCTGCCGGAAGCCTGCGGGCAGGAGAGCATTCTGCAAAACAAATGGAGCAAACAAGAACAGCTTAGACAGTCTGGGGGAACACCTGCTTAGTTTCATTTCCCTCTTCCTTCTCCCTCTCCGCAAGGTTCAAACCTGAGACGTCCTTTTCAGGCAAACTCTGATCCCCTGCCAACTTCCTTTTTTTGGGGCACGGGAGGACACAAAGTAACCTGTTCTTTAGACACAGAGAATGCAATGTAAAATACAGTACACTGCCCTCTGAATAGCACTGAAGCAATTCTTTAAGTACAATAGCTCCCAGCACTCGATTTGCTAGTTAACTTGAATTTCGTTTCTAGAATGAGCACTGTTTAAATGAGCAGTAGGAAATAAAACTCAGCTATTTCCAGTTTAGACATTCAGTAAAAGCCTACTTCCTCTATCATTTACTTATATGTTTCTAAGTCTTTAAGACAACTGACTCTACTATTGTTTGGCATTTAACACAGAGTATTGCTACCTTTTGACCTGACTCAAAGTGGGGTGTTTCTTTGATATGATGAACATATTTTAACTAAAGAGAAAAAAAAAGAGGATATTAGTAAGAAAAGAACACAATGTATAGGAATTCACACTCTTTTAAAAAAAGACAACCAATCTCTTTTGCCAGTTCTCCCCTGTTAAAATGCCCATAAAGCCAAAGGCAATTAAAAGATCAATAATATCTTGCGGTACAACAAAATAGGTGATCATAATATTCTTAACTGATCCCTAAACATCAAGATTGAACTTAATCTTAAAGGAAAAACAGAGAACCACTAGGTGAAAACACAAGTCTTGGAGTCTGACATTAGCTGCAGTATCAGTAGAGGACAACTCAGCTCATTATAGCAGAAAGCTCTAATATCCCAATATTCCAATACCCCATGCTGACAGAATCATTCAGGAGCTCAGTAATTATTTGCCTTCTCTTTACAAAGTCAACATGAGGACAGTGACAGATACAGACTACCAGATACAGGACCAGGAATCTTCAGAAGAGGTTAGCACCCTGCCTCTCCCATCAAACTCTAACAGCAGAAGCAGTAAAATAAAAATGGATGCAAAAGGGCTGTTTATTGGAAACAGGAAAGTTAAACAAGCCTTTCTAAATAAACTTTCTTTTCAAGAACATGACAAAGAGCAATTTTTATTTATAAATAAATCCCAGAAAGCTCCTCATAACTATCCTTTCTTCCATTCTCCTCTATTGCAGTTCCTTGCAAATAGGAAATAAACATTATACACATGTATATATATGTAAGATCACCAGCAGACTAGGAAAAAGCTCTGTCCAAAAGTGTATCATACAAAGACTCAACTTATTTTACCCAAGTTATGGAACAAATGAAAAAAATAAAACTTCTTTTGGCTAATGCCTACCTCAGGGTCAAGATCATCCAAAACATTTTCCAGTTGTTTCAGTTCTTCTTCTGAAAGTTTGCCAAGAATTTCATCCTCATCTAGATCTTTGTACTTGTCCAAGTCCTTTCGAAATGGGAGCGTCATGACTTGGGCAGTAGCAAGTTGCTCAAATACTTCGAAGTCCAACTCTTAATTCTTAACCAGATCTATGAAAAAAATTTTTAAAAACAAATAACCATAGTTAAGGTAAATATCCCAGCTACAAAGCATCTTCAACCCCCAAATACATCTCTGAAAGGAAAGCTTTTCATCCAGTAGTCATATCTGTTACCCTACAGCAGCCAAGGAGCACGTGGAAGCTGCGTACACCCTCCTTCTCCACTGACGAGAATCCTGTCCTGCCATGCCCTTTTCCATCAGTAACCAAGCCACATCTATTGCCAGATGAAAGTCAGTTCCCAGTCTTCTCAACGAGAACTCCAAGGCCATAATTCCCACAGAGCAGGGCAGGTTGTAGGACAGGAGGGAGGAGATACCAACTATACCTAGTATTTATGAGTCCAGTTAACACCAGCAGCTTTTATGCAGATGGTTATTTTGACTGCAGGTAGTGCAGCCAAAAGAAGAGTTAAGATGCTCCTCATTTATTGTTGCTGCTGCAGTTCGAGGGCAGTTAAGGAGAACTCTATAAACAAGCTAATTGGTTATTACTGACTCATATCCCTCCATATTACCTACAGAGGAAACAGAGGAAGTTTGCCTCCGAGTTAATTATAGAACTACCATTGAAGCAACATTCTGTTCTGTACAAGGAAAATCAAAATACCTTGATGAAAAGCGTAGGAAATACAGCTCCTAAGCAGCAGCACTCCAGTCAATCCTACAAAAAAAAATTAATTTTTTTTTTTTTTTAAATTAAAAGTAAAGACAGACTGTGTAACTGCTCTCTAAATATTACACTTGGACAAAATCAGGGTCCTTCAAAAGATGTACAGTCTATATAGCACTTCTCATGGACAAGCAGAGTGCAAGGAACCTTTTTTTTAACGCCAGAATTTTTTAGCATTTGTCTTGGAAAAAAACAGTTAATCACAGCAGTGTTGAAGCAGACAAGTTGTTTCCTCTCGTTTTTCTGAAAGAAGTTACAGGATTCTCATTTTGTTCAGCCAAATTCCTGCTTCAAGTTGACTGAGCACACAGACAAAAAAAGGTAACTTGAATGACTCTCTGTAGGTAAGCAAGAGAGTCCATAAGGTATTTGGGGAGCAAAAGCTAAATCCATACATTCAGGCTCATTAGTCTCCTTAAATGCTTTCTTGGCTCTACAGAAATACTCAACACAGACCAGACACACAGCAAATGTTATTTCTTCTCCAGTAGCCCCATTCCAGGTCAGATGCTCACACCACATACACAACTGCATTACTTCAAACCTGCACTTACAATGTCCTTCAAAAACAGATCAATGTAGCTTTTGTCTCTTAAGTAAAACGAAAAGAAGGACTGTATATACATACACACTGTACCATGGAATCCTGCTTAGAGGATTCCTTCACCTCAGTTGTTTACACCAAGGAAGGTCTCCCTGGCTGCCACAGTTACATACAGTGACATTTTAATTCAGAGACACTAAACAGACATGAGCACATAAAGCTTCATCCACACCATTCAGCCAAGTGTACCTGTAAAGTAAATCTAGTTTTAACAACTGCCATTGCCAGAATGGTAAATTTTCAGTCCCTACCAACACCTACAGCTGAATGAGGAATATATTTACAGCTATTTTCAGCATGTCTTCTTTTTAAAAAATATTGCTGATATAAATACTAGAACTTACTTGTAAACTACAGCTGACATCGATGGAACACAATTCCAAAGCTGAACTACCAACTTAGACAGAGTTCTCTTGAGCATAACAAAAACCAGGAGGAATTCCCAATTTCAGAGTAAATTCCATCAAAAAGAACACCGTCTGGCTTCCTCCAAACTAAACCCAATCATGTTGGAAGAGCCTGGACCTTTTGCAAGAGGCTACAGAGGTAGGAGCATCCGAGTTTGGTGGCTGCAGAAAATGCAGAGAGCAGCACACCTATGTTTTCCTAAGTTCCAAAAGTAACTAAGGAGTGTCTCTGTGGCTGAGAGAGCCACCTCCCACAATTCTCCATAGTCTAATGCCTTTGTTTCTCCAGGTGCACAGCAGCTGATGGACAATTAGCTGATGACAGCAGATGCCACACAATCTGCATGAGAACTTTTCATTCCTAGAGCCTTAATGTTTTGCCCTTCCTGACAGTTCAAGCCATTACACACTATCATAAGAGAAAACATTTCCTGCAGCTGATTACACAGCATTGTTTGTGACCAGGCTGCACTGTCTGAGCCCTACATCAAGACTCTGCTATTTACCACATTTCTGCATGTCCATTTGCATTCAAATATTAAAAGGTGTAGTTTTAACAGGTAATTACAAGGAGCAGAATGGTTAGTAGGCTGCAGAATAATGCTGCCCTTACTCTAACAGAGAGCAGCACTGCATAACCATACATTACTTCACGTAGGCTGTATTTCCTCTCCATTAATTGCTGTAAAATGCTGCCATCCAGAATTAATTACCTTTTATTTACTGCACTGGTATGTTTCATATGGGAAAACTACTCATCTTTTGTAATACATTAATTAATGTTCAGGTCACAGCCCTTGGTCTCACTTGTTTCTATAATAAGACCAAAGTAGCCATTTCAAATCCTTAGCTACAGTGTTCAGACACACATACACACAAAATGAAAAATAAAGAAGCAGAACAAAAAGCCCTATCTCTCTGTAGCTGAGTCTTCACTTCATCAAGAGGAAGAGAACTACATGTGGCCTGCCAAATATAAATGTGTGTTTTGAACATATATTTTAATACCTATCAAAGGTAATTTTTTTTTTTTAATATGAAAGCACACAATGTGACAAACCTTTAAAACTTTATGATGGCAGCATTGACTAGCACATCTGTACTACACAGAGGTTGCTTGGTAATGACTTTCAGAAACATTCCCTACAAAAGAAATCACAGCATATAAAACACTAGCGTATAACATACTAAAAATCAGGTTTTAAAACATGGTGTTAGGAATTCTCATTGCATAAAAGGGCATAAAGGCCAGCTGAAGCCCTAATCTAATCAAACAAGCCCTTCACCTCCCATTAAACACACTTGGTACTCTATTTGTTTTCCACCACTCACTGCAGCAGTTCTGCATAGAGACATGAGGAACAAACTACAAGTTTTTAGAAAGAGCAGTTACTTGGCCTGTGAATATTTGTGGCACATTATATATATGTGTGTGATCTTACTGCAGAGTCACAGGCAAAACTGTAACCCTCAATTTTGGCTTTGCAAATACTTTGCCCTTTTTTGATGAGCCAAGCTAGTTTTCTTCTAAGTATCCTTCTCAGCTTTACCATGAAAACATTACATATATTAAAAGTCCAAAGGGCTTTTTTAGATATATAAGTATAAGGGGAAGTTCTTCAGCAACTTCATAGTCACATAAGAAACATTTAGGGAAATGGAAACAAAGCCATCACTTCCAGTCCATCAAATTTCAATTCTCTGTTATGCAGAAGACAACTTGAAAAATCAAAAATGAAGAAATTCTGCTGGACATCACAGAGACAAAAATCTTGTCATTATTCCTTCACCTGAGAAATCAATGAAGAACTAAAGAAATAAGAAAACAGTAGTAACTTTAATTTAGGCCATTTTATAATTACCTGAATCATCCCCTGAAACTGTCAAGCAACTTCCATACATCTCTTATCTATAAGTTAAAATATTTTTGTTTTCTCCTCTCCTCTCTGAAAGTATATTTTTAAAAACCAAAAGATTCTAAAAATAGCAAGCTCCCAATTATCTTTTAAAAACTCCCACTCCTCCCAATTTCTATTATATTTAAGAACACGATTTCTTTGGACCCTCACAGGAGAAACTCTTTAGAAACAAATTGTCCACAGGAAACTCCAGGGTTGTTAAAGTCCACTGCAAATGGTTTCCGTGACTTGGATTTTAAAATAGAAGCGACATCACGAAAAACAAACCGAGCTGGTTTTGGCCAGCACATTCACAGAGTTCACTTTAATCTCATTTGTTCCTCCCCAGCCTCCTTCCCCCCAGCCTCTGCGTGAACCCTGCCCAGAGCAGGGGGGTCCACAGGGCTGTCAGCATTCCTGCACCACTCAGGGCCCCAGACCATCCCAGCTCCTTGGAGGAGCCTAATCTGAGCATTTCCCCAGGGAACCCCGACGATGGCAACAATTTTATTTTCCAGTGTGTCAGATTATACAGAACTGTTTATGAAAAATGTGCTGCACTTGAAAGAGCTATCTTTACTTACCAGAGCTAGGAGAAAAATTAGCAAATATAAATATTACCGTAATCCCAGAAAGTTCCTTAGGATGTTTTTCTAATGCCCTTATGATAACTCTGCTGAACAGCCCAATGCTGCTTTTCTTAGCAGAAAGCTCTCAAAAACCCACCTGAGCCTCCCAAAACTCCAGCCTGGGGTAGGGCACAGGATCCAGGTTCTCCTGCTCAGGGATCCAGCAAACAACCCCCAGCCCAAAGCCTTATGGAGCCAGCAGGTGGCAGCTCATCTTTGCCTAAGCTTTTCGTCAGGGTAAATTGTGTTTTCCAGGCAGAAAGGAATAGCTATTCTGGGCTATTTTCCTAGAAAAGCAAGCCCGAGGCTTCATTCTGTTCACAGAGACAATTCACTAAGTTTTACACATGGCAAACTGGGCTTCCCCAACTTCACATTTGTCCTCGAGGTGACCCGAGGAGCGGATGGGGACAGACAGCTACTGCAGAGGAGCTACATGGACCACAAAGATGCTTTCATGCTGAAGGAAATCTGAACACATCTGTGTTTGCACTTCCTGCCAGCTCCTCCTCTGTATCAGAGGCCACCTGGAACCAGACAAGGCCCACTATGCTCTTCTATATGTCCTGTATACAACGACACTGAACTAAGGCACAGCTATCTTGCAGGCAGGGTGCTCTGAGTCATGGCTAAGCTGTCAAGCTGGCATTGTCCCATAAAAACTTACTCCTGTGTGCCTGTTTTTGAAAAGCAGTCACTAACACTGCAGGGCTAAATGAACATGCCCACCCAGGCCAGGCAGTGGCGAGGGTGACAGGGCCAGGAGCCCTGAAGCCTGTACTTGGCAAGCTGCACAGGGCACAGAAGTGGCAGCAGTTCAGCACACCCATCTCCATGACACTTCCAGGCACGCTCATCAAACTTGCTGCAGGGCAGCTGTTATGATCCCAAATAAACACAGGGCCAGGATAAGGTAAAAACCCCAGGTACCACAGATACTGCCTGCCCTGAGAAGTTCCTCTGGCAGAAATCGCCACTCCAGCTGTCCATTCCCTCTCCCAACATGCAGGGCAGCGCCACTGAGTCAGGACTTATTGACCAACCAGGATGAGGGATGTTTTGGCATCATTTTTTTCAGACAATACCTGGATGTTCATTAGAGATCTACTGCCCATGGACATTAATACACAGTATCTCCTCCTGGAGGAACTGCCTGCAGGTGTTTTAGTCAAAAAGAAACATCAGGTGCAAGCTATCTGAAAGCTTATACAAACATTCAGATATTCCTATCTATTGCAGAAAAGTGGAGAAACTTGCAAGCCTGGAACAGGATAGCAGAAGAAATTAATTTCATTCCCATTATGTTACTTCAGGAAAACTTCTGAGTACGAGCCAGTTTCAGGTTCTCCCTTACATCATGGTCTGTACACCTGACCCAGTCCCCAAACTTTAATTGATTCAGTACATTACAGCAAACTCAAAGCACACAGCAACCTCTCTAGAACATCGATTACTATCAACACAACCTGCGCCTACCCACAAAGAGACGGGCTGACAGGCTCTGGGAACAGCCCTCCGAGAGCTCCGTGCCCACCGCCGGGACAGGCCGAGCGCCGCCGGGAGCGGCACCCCCCGCCCGGGGCCCGCTGCCGGTGCAGGGAGCGCACCCCGCCCCGGAAAGGCATCCCTCCGTCACCGAGCGCCGGGCAACCGGGGCAAAACACATGGAGCGAACTGCAAGGGTTACGGCGACCAGACCCACAGGCGAAGCTTTCAAAGCCACATTTTCGGGTTCCGCGGCAAAGTCGGGAGCCGGCTAAACAACCACTCACCCCCCGACCGGCACGCCCCCCGCCCGGCCCCTCTCAGCCCCGAGCCCACCGATAGTGCAGCTGCCAAGCCCTGCCCCAGCCCGGACCTCCGAGACACCAGCGGGGGTCCGTGTCCGCCGGGGGCCGCCGGGGGCCGGGCGCCCACAAAGCCCCGTCTTTCCTCCTCCCGCCGCGGGCGCGGCCCCTCCCGCCGGGCTCCCACCGCGCCGCGGCAGCGGGCGGAGGGCAGCGCTCGCCCGGGCCCTCCCCGGCACCCTGCGGCCGCCAGCGCCCAGCGCCCACCGCCCCGTCCCGTCCCGTCCCGTCTCGTCCCCGCGGCCGCTCCCCGCTCACCCGGGCGGCGGCCGGACCAGCTCCCTCAGCCCGACCCGCGCCTGCGCCGCGCGCACGCCGGGAGCCGCAGTCCGGCCGCGGGCGCAGGCGCGGGCTCGGGGCGGGGCCTCAGGGAGCGGGCCCCGCCCCCGAGCACCGGGCCCGGCCCGGGGAGCGACAGGGCCCGGCATGGTGGGGTCGGATAGGGCCCGGCATGGTGGGGTCGGGCAAGGCTGCGCTGGGGAAGGTGTAGGGAGGTTGGATCGAGGTGGTCTGTAGGATCCCTTCCAACCCAAACCACCCCGTGCTCGTAGGTGTGTGTGGCAGCACCTCCCAACCGGGCACAGCGTGTGCGCTGCCAGCGGGGGCAAACTCCTGTGTGCCTTCACGCATCCTTGCAGATCTCTCTTGTTGCTTCTTCTTCCTTCATTTGGCCCCTTCAGGTCTTCACCTCTGCCCACATTTTGCTTTTTCTGTATTCGAAACATGCAGCTTTTTCCCTCCAGGCTGTGGTTGCGTTCAATGTCCTGTCTCTCCCTGACGGACAAAAGGAGCATTTACAGGGACACGGTGGCTTCTCCTGCTCCTGTTGGCACGAAGCAGGTGGAGCCCAAGCCCACTCAGGCTCTGCTGTGTGCTCATTGAATTTTTGGCGTTTCAGTTATCAAATACCATGCGCTAGTAAACACCGTGTGTAGTAAACACTGTCTGTGTACGATTGTTTAATGTTTATAATGTGAAAGAAATCTGTACAGGTTGTCTTGAGAAAAGTGAAAATTTAACTTGATTTAGTCTGTTCTCTGCCAAATTTCAGTCTACATGAAAGCTGGAGCTGCTCACAGGCACCAGTTTTCAGAGGTCTGGTTATTTTACTGTGAGTTCTTATCTCAATGTTGGAAACTTCAAAATAAATAAAAAACCACAATAGTTAAAATTAAGGCAGTTGTCTGGTATGTGCTACTTGAATGGCTAAGTTCTGGCAACACAACAGAAAATAGGATTTTACAACAGAAACTGTTGAGTAACTATCCTTGTAGGCATTGCCATTCCTGCCTTCAGAATAAGGCATTTGTAGCATGAAAATGATAAGCAATAGTCATTAATTAGTTCAGACACAGCAGTTTGAACCTGCATTTTCCAGATATCAAGGGTGCTACAATACTGCTGTACCCTAGAGAAAAAATGATTCCCAGGCTTACACAGTAGGTAATGCTGAGGTTCTGATTTTTTCAGAGTCACTGAAAACTCTTGGCAGATTTGGGAAAAGAAATTGGTGGTGAAATGTTGGCCCCATGGGCATCAGTGTGAGTTCTGCTGTCTGCTTCAGTAGTGCCAAGATTTCCATAAGATATATAGAGTGTAAGGTATCATACATCAACAATCTTATTTAAAAGTTTATTTAAAATATTTTAAATTCTGATAACTTATGGCTAATACATTTCTTAAAGATAGTTTGCAAAGTCCTGACTGTGCTGAAGTCATTGGTGAGGCTCTTATTAACTTTGAGACAAATAAATTATATTAAAATCAAATTTGTGCAAACTTCAAATGGAACAGTCCTTACTTGTTGGGCTGAACCACCTGAGAGTGCTTCTCTTCAAAGGAAGAAGCTCCCAGTGCACACAAAGGAGGAGGCTGGGGGCGGTCAGCAGGTGATGGGCTTTTGACCACTGTGAGATTCTCCCTTGTGAGGCAAGAGACTCACAAAGCCATGCTGAGCCCTTCTGGCACCATGGGTGAATAAAGAGGCACTTTTATAACCACAAGAGCACTTCTGCAAATGCTCAGCAGTAGATTCATAACCCTCCAGTCATTAGAAGGCTGGTGGTTTCCAGGCTGACAGACCAACGTCTGCATCAGAGGGCAAACATAATGTTCTCAACAGGATTAGTAGAGGGCTTTCTTTTTCAAGGGCTGGAATACAATTTAAAACAATCTTACATCGTTGAAGAAAGTGTTGCAAATATGAAAACTGGAAAGACACAGAAGACCTGGACAGCAGTGGAACTTCCACTGGTGCTGAAATAATGCACATGCACAGCAAGAGCGGATGCAGCATGGAGCTTCCTCACTGCTGTTCACTGAGCTGAGCTGTGCACAGCAGGAAAGGAGCATCCAGAGCCTCAGACATAATCCTAAACTGATTAAATCATAATATATTTACTATCTACAGTGATGATGTGGTACAAATTAAGCACGTTGGTTCAAAGTATATGTCTTGAGAGAGAAATATCTTCCTGTCTGGGGAATTCACACAGGATATAGACAGGAAGGATATTGTCAGTAAAGTAGATGATAATAAAAAGCGATGCCTGACCCTCTATCCTATATATCTTTTTTTTATGAGAGTGGCCAAACTCAGATTGAAACAAATTATGACTGAGGAAATCATACTTCTTCCAGTGGCAGCAAAGAAGGACACGGTTCAGTCCTGGTTCTCTTGAGACACAACCCTAACACTTGGAGAACTTTATGTTCTGCCATGAAGGGTTAAGATGAGCACATTCCCATGAGCAGGCTGGCTTGTACAGCCTTTGGTAGGAGGCCACAGGGGTAGCTACCTACCTGTGTTTGGGAATTTTTCCCTCCTCTTGCAGATGGCTGCCTTGTGGCCAGCCCCAGACCAGCCTAGCTGAGGCGTGTCTGGAGACAAGCTTAAGCACTGACCATCAGACTCACAGCATTCTAAGCCCTGTTAAATGTGCTCTGCCCAGCGTGTGGGAACACACCTCACAGGGGTTTGTTTCTCAAGTGCACCGCTAAGACCATTTACACATACCCAAAATGACCCAATTCTCTGTGAACTGGCTGTATAAAAGAAACATGTGGTATAAGAAACTTCCCCAGTGCATACTGATCAGCTGCAGTCGGCCTTTGCCAGACCCCAGGCTCTTTAGATAAAGAACAAGTTGTCCTGCAGATCCGTTCATGGAGAAGGAGGTGAAGCAGAAAGGTCTTCAACATTCACAGACTCTGTAAAGAGAGGACTACAATATCTCTTTGGCTCCTGCTCCCTTCTGAGGAGCAAACCACTTTAAATGGGACACTGTAAAGGAGGTGGAGAGAGCTGGCCTGTGCCTCCAAAGTCTCCTTCTCACACCAGGACAGACAGCAGAACTGGGGTGGGTGGAGAAGCCACTGTATCTCAGTAGATGGAGTAGAAGTCATGTTGCCTTTACTCCAGGGAAGTGTGAGCCAACCCAAAGCACACTTTCGAGCATGCTGCCTGGAGCAGAGCAGGGGTGCATAGTTCTGTAAGGTGGGTACAGACGGTGGTGAGGTGCTGAGGTCTGGACCCAGGGTCAGCAGTGGTTTTGTTATGTCCTTGGGCAATTCCTTCCACCTTTCAGCCTTTAACCGTGTTCCTG